AGAGAGAGAAAGAGGGGAAAGAGGTAGAAAGAGGGAGAGAGAGAAATAGAAAGATAGACAGACTGATAGGTTGATAGAGAGAGAGGGAGAGAGAGAGTGGGAGAGAGAGAGAGAGAGATAGAGAGAAAGAGAGAGGCGAAATATACAATAAGACCACAATTATTCCACATGACACGAGAAAAGAAAAAAATCAAAAGACCCGAAGACCTACTTGAAAAACGAATACTTCTTGAACTTTTCCCTGTAAATATTTTGCCTAGTCTCGAACTTGATGCATTTCTTCCTTATGACCGACACTTCGTTGGCTTTGAGAGGCGCCACGTGCTGCCGGATGAGGTCGCACTGCTTCTTCAGGGACTCCCACTGCTCGGGCAGCTCCTGGGGGCGGGACAAGGGTTGAGGGAGATATTCTTCTTGCATTATATAATTCAATTTTCCATTATGCTATAATTAAGAATTCGGTAGCTATTCTTTGAATATCTGATTGTACACGTTTGGATCATACGCGGAGGCCAGTCCCACCTGCAGCTTGAGGTGCATGGTCTCCGGCAGGTCGTCGCCGTACTGCTGCACGAGGGCGATGATGGCCTTGAGGGGCTCAAACATGGCGTCCGTCGTGTGGACCCTGTCCCTGACCCTCACCAGGTGCGCCATGATGGACACCAGGGTGTCGTAGTCCCCGTTGTTGAGGTCCTGCGCCACGCCAACCTCAGTCGTCTTGATGAAGTTGTCTAGCTCCGTCAAGCTATGGTGAGTGATGCAGGGGTAGCGCTGTTTAGTTAGGTGTTGGATATGTATATTCAAATAAGGAGTTACTTTTGTAAGACATTAACCAGATCCAAGTGTAATAAGATGTACAATAAATGATTCCTGAAAATTGTGACAGATCGTGGATATAGATACAAACACTGCTGCATAGATATACAGGAAATAGATATATTGAACTCCATTCAAGGTACGACACGCCACTCTCTACATCTCCCGAAACAACAGATAAACACCATTACCTGTCCGTCACTTGCGCGATGAGGTGCTGCTTGTACATCTGCGCCCACTTCTTGGTGTTCTCCAGCAGGCCGTGCTTGAAGGGCCGCACGTCCAGGCGTAGCCATCTGTCGAACACCATCATCGTGTCTATGTTCTCGAGCTCGGCATGGAGTTGCTCGTATTTGTCAATCTGCAATAAGGCTTTCAATCACATGAGGCCCTATTAGATAGCCATCTTGTTTTAATAATCTATGTGTTTAACAAGTGAGGCTATTCCACTGTATGAATATTGAAGAGAAGGGGAGAGAGAGAAAGTGTATAATAATCTCATACTTGTTGCTTGAACTTGGGAAGCCCAGGCTGCTTTCCGTCCTCCTCTGATGTGAGGAACCTCTCCAGAACTTCGTCTCGACGATCCCGCCAGAGGGATTGGTGCTGCAGGAACTGGTCGCGGTGCTCAGCCACCTGGAACGCCGCCGCCTCAAATCTCCCCACCAGCGTCTCCTTCAGCTGTGAAACTTCCTCATCTTTCTCAACATCAGGCTGTAAATAGGAGACAGCTGCATATCAAACCTGCCATGGTGATAATATGAAATGAAAATAAAATAAAACAGACACATAACCCCTTGGATTAATGTATTTAATGCGCATAACTTTGCAAATGACATAGCATAATATAATAGCAATGGCGACAGTACTATCAGAAGCAGGCACCCATTAATATATAGAGATGTAATAAGCACCCTGCTTTACCATATAAGACGCATGGGTGTGAGTAGCCAGACGGGGCACGAGGTCGCAGATGTGAAGGATTTCCCCCACGAGGGTCTCCACCAGGCTGCGCAGCTCCTCGGGCGAAGGGCGGATGATGAGGTAGGGCTCCTGTAGCTCCAGCCGGGCCTCGAGCAAAGGGAATTGGTTGACTCTCGTTTCGCAATTATCCAGCAAGTAGAACAGGCTACGGGATTGGTAAAAGATTTGTCATGAATATAGGCTTGCATATTGCCTGTTGAATTGATTGATGATTGACGAATTTAGGGCGAAGAGTTTATCTAGGATAATGTACCTTACAGAACAGTGTGACATTTTTTTCTCTCTCTCATGTGAGCAATATTGCTTCATTATCGTAGTTTTATTTACACGTAATATATGAACAATGAAGCACACAATAACCAGGATATGTAGTAGATCTAACAAAAAAATAACAAACCAAAGAAGTAAATATAGTATCGTAAATTCATTACCTGCAACTGACCCCGTCGACAAGGCCTCGCGTGATCATGTGGTCCAGGAAGAGGAGGTAGCGATCCCAGTGCTTGGAGTCTTCAGGCACTTTGAGGAGGCGCTTGTTCTCGTCTACCATGCCGCGGATCTTGGCTCCGTCTTGCTCCATAGTTGTGTACCTGTCGGAGGGGAAAAAGGAGTTTTTTTGACCATGAAGAAATGCTGATGATGAATAACACGGTTGATCTGTGGAATTAGCTAGAGTATTCTGTCTACGAAACGTCTGACTGATAATAAATATAAAAGGAGAATAAGAAGGAAAAAAAGAAGAGATACATTAGAAAAAAAACAAAGACAAACAATAAAAAAGACTATCAAACAATCTTCAAATCAACTCACACTTTCTTGAGTCTCTCCGCTCTATCCTCGAGGTTCAGCAGCGTGTCCTTTTTCCCCTCACGCCTCTCGAAGATGGGCTTCAACACCCACGTACACATGATGTCATCCACTCGCCGTACGTTGGCTTGTACTTGCTGCACGCGGATCTCCAGGTCGCTCACTGTGTCCCGCAGCGCCACGATATATTCCCATACTCCTGGTCGGTGAGGATTGATTAAAAATAGATGAAGTTTGAATGAACTTGATATCAGGCTGGGTGGTCTACTGATGTGGAAAAGGTCAAAGACTGAGTAGAAATGGTTTATGGAAGAGCTGACAAAGTTTAAAGACGATAATGATAACTACCATTATTATTGTTGTTATTATTATTACTATTACTATTAGTAATAGTAGAAGTAGTGGTAGCTCTCTCTCTCTCTCTCTCTCTCTCTCTCTCTCTCTCTCTCTCTCTCTCTCTCTCTCTCTCTCTCTCTCTCTCTCTCTCTCTCTCTCTCTCTCTCTCTCTCTCTCTCTCTCTCTCTCTCCCTTTTTTTTGCCTTTTTCTTACCTTCGGAATTCCACGTGAGTTCCGCCTCTGCCTTGAGGACCGTCGCATCAATGTCCTCCATTTCTTTCCTAATGAGGCTGAACTCGACTTCGTTTGTGTTAGTCAAAATGTGGTTGTACCTGCATGAAAGTGCGTATTAATGTAGAAGGTACAATTTTGTACCATCATTACTCCTTGTTAGTTTGTATTTCAAAAAGCAAATGCATCAGCTGCATTCGTTTCTTTTAAATAATTCTTTAAAAATGTATATAAGTAAACGGCACATTGCCTTTTACTCACCAGTCCGTGACCAGTTGCAGATTCGCGGTGTATTTGCGGAAGGTCTCGCGTCGAGAGGCGAGCTCGGTGCCCTCGGAGAGGTCCTCGCCCAGGACCCACACGTAGCGGAGCTCTCTCAGCACCCGCACCAGCTGCGGGAGACGGTGAGGGCATATATGAATTGTTATTTTGTAGCTATTTACTATATATTTTTAGTAACAGTTAGTGTTTTCATTGTTATTACTATTCTCATTCTCATTATTATTATTATGATAATCATTATCATTTTATCCTTCCTGTTATTATCACTGTTGCTATTTTTTGAAGTACGTTTTCTGCTTTTACTTCAGTTGTGATTTAACATAACAGTACATGACGGATAGGTGCAAATTCTTCCATCTTTAGTAGAATGTTAGTATTAACATAATGTCAAAAAGAACTTCGCATATACTGCACCACGTTCGCTCACCTAAAGATTCCTAGCGTGTCTGTTATAATTATATGAAAATCTGCACTCAATATTGTAAAAAGGTTATTACAAATAAAAGGTAAATATAAGGATCAAATGTTTTTGCTGACATTTTCCTCCTTCCTCCTCCGTGGCTCACCTCGGGACTGAAGTTGACGGCGAGCGTGTTGTCCTTGACAATAATGGGGTGAGGCAGCGGCCTGGCTTGAGGCGGCGGGGCCGGTGTAGTCGGCTGGACGCGAAATGGAAGAACCTTCCTCGTTCGTACCACCACCTGTCGGCTGCCACGGGCCCACTTGATGACGGTCAGGCCGGCCTAGTAATCCTCTCTTCGACGTCCAGAGCGGGACCTCCCCACATGCTGGGCAACCACTGTGCTATGTCAAAGGCAGGGCCAACGTTGTGCTTCAGGGGAAGCAGGCGACGCGGGCCCTCCTCGCTCTAGACCCACGCGTCGGGGTGGGCTTCAAGGAATATGGCTTATGGTGTAACTGGTATAGGATAAAGCAAACAAAAAGCAACTAATTACAGGATTAATGCTTATTATATATTTATCGTATTTGTTTGCTGGTAATACAAGTAGTAGGTTCAAATTTCAAGGTTTCTCGAACACA